ATACCTCCACTTTGGACCAGAAGAACTTTCACTGGGCTAGGAGCCTTAAACTACTGCCCTTTCCTTCAAACCCCACCCGTGTCCTTCGTAGAGGCCCAGAATCTCCTTTTCTCTACTCAGGTTTTTTCCTTCTAGACATATGTCTCTACTCAGCCGTGTCTTTCTGGTATGGATGCAGGACTCAGCTCTGACCTCCCTGTAAACAGGCAGAACTTAAGCAGAGGTTTCCCTGAGCAGTTTCCAATGTTGTGAAACTTGAGGGAAATTTTCATCATCAAAGGTATTTACTCAGCTCGCCTCTCCTTCCACTTCCCCTCTCTCCCCTCCCCTGTCTGCTGCAGCCTGTTCTCTCCCTCATTCACCCCTACCTCCAGCCCCCAGACCCTGGCAAACACGCAGAATAAAGAGCCATGTGCAACTGTGTTGACTGTAGCATGTGGGCTAGCAGTTTTTTTAAATGGTGTATTTTGTGGGGCAGCTCTGATCCCACTTTTCTGTTGGCAAGGCAGCTTCCTTCAGGCCAGTGATGGGGTCTGTCTCCTAGGAAGAGGTACAAACAGACCAATCAGACCCTGGATTCTGTGTCCCATGCAGCACAGCATGTTCTAGAAGAGGAAACATGGCTCCAAATGGGTCACATGTCTGTTTTCCAGAAGGGGAAATATACACAGTGTAGTTCGAGTTAGCCCTTCTGAATACGGGGGTCCAGGGAGGAGTCCCAAGTTTCTAGGTCTAAGGATGACACTAGCCTTGTGCTTAGCTGGGAGGTGCTCCCCTCCCCCAGGTTAATGAATCTTCCTGCATCTAGTCAGCCGCCTTCTCTCCTGCACAAAAGGAGGCCACACTCTCCTACCAGACACCAGTCCTTGTGTTCTCCAGACACAAGTCAGGATGAGGGGGATGTGGGAGGCAAGTGAAGAGAGAACTGCCCTTGATAACGGGGGTTGGGGACTGCATTTCACTCAGGATCCTGACGATCCCTGGCCAAGCCTATACCTCCTCACCTGCAAAGTGCTCACAGAGCTTACTTTGTCCACCTGCTATCTTTGGCACAGGATTAACTGAGATGATATGAGGGGAAGTCTCATTACACTGAACCACAGCATACAACATGTAAGGAGAGGATAGTATTCCTGGATGTGATTCTGATTTTAGAATTTAGAGAAGGAGGCAGTGCTGGAGCTCGGGAAAACCACTTCTCTAAACCTCGACCAATGTTTTTGGACAACCAGATAAACTTGGTTTCTTTTCATCATCTGAGAGGTGCACACGGGTTCGGTATTAATTTGTGGTACTGAACCTAGGAACCCTGGGGTCACACCCGCAAGCCACACCCTGCAGGCACCAGATAATCTCCTCATAGACCACCCTCCAGAACTCACGGCTGCTCCTCCCAGATGGGAGTATAAAAGGAGGCCCCCATAACCATACCACCGGACTCCCTGCCAGGCTATTTATACTCAGGAAGCCCCAGAGGGGGTGGACAAGAGCCCTCCCCACCCCAGGGGGCCCAGCCCCGGCAGCCGACCTCCACTACCCAACCCCTGCCATGCTCCAGGCCACTTTCCGTGCGGCCATGAGACACATCATGGGACACTTCCTACCCATTGTACATAATTACCACACCATGTTTGACATGGAGTTCAGACAGTAGGCAACAGATCATAGAGAGAAATATATATATTATATATATAAATATATATAATATTATATATTATATATAAATATATATTCTCATAGAGAGAAATAAATATACATATAAATATATATATATATACCTTTTGGAGTGCCCAGCAAGCTACCGAGAGTAGCCTGCCCACACGGGCAGAGCCTGGCAAGCTACCCTTGTCATATTCAATATGCCAAAACCAATAACTATAATGGGTCTCATTCCCCTGACCCTGAAAGAGCCTCCAACCGTTAGGAAAGACGAGTAAGGAGAGGACACTAAAATCTCAGGGCTGGGATGAATAGAGATGTTACTGGCACCCACTCAAGTAAGTTGATGAACAACGGGATGACAGTGTTACAGTGATACAGTGATTGAATCTAGGGTTCAAATGAGAGGTTTGTTTCTCTGCCCCACTGTGGGGCTGAGTTTCATAATTTTTCCCAAATGTAATTGATTTTTATATATATCACTTCATCCAATATGTCCAAAATAACATCTTTTTCACAGGGAATTCATACAAAAATGCATTATACTTTTTATACCAGTCTTCAAATCCCTGGGTATTTTCCAAGGGTCATAGCTCAAGGGCTCCAGAGCCCTAGGAACATAATGATCAGGATAGGGGCAGTGGCTACCATGCTGGCCAACACGGCTTTGTGCAGTGGCTACCATACTGTCCATCATGGGTCTGTGCAGTGTGACAACCTCATCGGCTTGATGCATTTCTCTCCCATGTAGCTAAGCCCAGGGGAACGAATCACAATCACTACCCCAGGGAGTCAGAGGGCCGAGGTTCTTAAGTACAATCTATAAAGGAAGCAAATGCCATGATCCTTTGAGTCTTTTAGAAAAGGAAGAATCTCTCAGAATGAGAGATCAAATTTATCCACAGAGAAAAACAATATTCGTTGATTTCTTATGTTTTAAACTCCTCTATTTCAGAGACTAGGGGTGTAGACTATAAAACCCAGCTCCTGGAAGAGAACAGCACAGAGTCTCCTGCCCCCGCGCCTGGCTGTCCTCGCTGGGGCCCCTTGGAGGGGAGCGGGTTGAGTTTCCCTCCCTGCCCCGACCAGGGCTCCGGCAGCTGAAGACCTCCAAAACCAGCCACCACCATGCTGAGACCACTCTCCACACACATGAAGGTACCGGCAGAGGAACAAAGGCATGCGGGTCCTGGGGCTGAGATCTCCAAGCCTGCTCGGATCGGGGCTGAGCATCCTCCACCCAGATCCTCCATATTCCAGTAGGCGGGGGTCACACCCACCAACTGGCCCCCTGGCGCCATGTAATCCCATTAACCAAGACCCAGAGACTATAAAACCCAGCTCCCAGAAGCGCATGGCCGCATTTGCTGTGCAACATCTCATTATCTCATTCCTACTTTGGACAACCTGGCAGGCTACCGAATGTAACCTGCCCACACGGCAGAGTCTGGCAAACTCCCCATGGCGTACCCAATATGCCAAATACCAGTAACAATGATGGGTCTCTATTCTCCTAACCCTGAAAGAGCCTTGAATATTGCACTTTTTAAAAAATCTCAGTGCTAGGATGAAGGAGACGTTACTGGGGCCTGCTCAAGGCAATCGACAAACAACAGGATGGTCGTGATCGTGATCATAGTTAATGGTAAAACACTAAACCTGTATGTGTGAGGCCCTGAGTTTGATCCCTGGTTCCATACAAAACCACAGCAGTAAAACAAAACAAAAAACAACCACAAAACCCTCTATTTCAGGCAGAGACATTGAATAATTACTAATAGCAGAAGATGAAGAAAGAACCCTAAAGGTCAAAAGCAAATACTATGTAGATTCAGAGAACCAGGCTGAATTACTTGGCCCCGATGGCCCTTCAGCTAGGCACTGTTTTTATGTTTGTTTGTTTGTTTGAAGTCTTAAGACATGGGACTGAAGAGATGGTACAGAGGGTAGGGCACTTGCCTTGCATGCTGTCAACCCCAGTTTGATCACCAGCACTGTGGTCCTCTGAGCCACACCAGGAGTGATCCCTGAGTACAGAACCAGGAGTAAGTCCAAAGCTCTGCTGAACGTGGCCAAAAAAGAAAAAAAAATCAAGACAAAAAGACAAAAAACACATGTAGCAGAGACTCTGAGGCATTCAAAGATTCAAAGTCAGGCATAATTTCTCTCTGGCCCTGCAAAGAAAAAGTTTGCAGACCTCCACCACGTGTGGTTTGCAGATCACATGATTTACTGACATTCTCTACATTTCCTTTGATAGTTGCTCTTAGGACCACCTGCCATCTCCAAGGACATCTTTAGGGTCAAGTGTGGTGTGATACAGATGGGTCTCAGTCTACTAGAGGTCATCCAAGAAGCCATTTGGGTTGGACTCACCAAGAACTGAGTGAGGCATCTGAATAAGTCCTAAGTACATTTTGGGGGGACTGGGGGAGCACACTCAGAAATGCTCAAAGGTTACTCCTAACTCTGCACTCAGAAATTACTCCTGGTAGTACTCAGGGGACCATATGCGATGCTCAGTATCAAACCCAGGTGGGCCATGTTCAAGGCAACTGCCCTGCCCGCTGGACTATCACTCTGGCCCTATAGTTCTAAAGTACTTCTTAAGATGGAAGAGCTAAAGTAATTTCATGGCACCCTTCAAAACCAAAGAGAGCTCAGGGAGACTTTGAAATTCTTCATTTTCCCAAGCAAGGCCAGAGAGCCTGGGTCTTCACTCATGATTGGGATCATGTTGTCCGGGGGAAAGAGCAAATCAAAAAACAGATGTGCAGGACCTGGTAAGTTTTTGGTAGCTAGTTGTGACTTTTTTTTTTTTAACTGAATCACGGTGAGCTACAGTTATAAAACTTTCACGTTTGAGCTTTAGTCATACAATGACCGAACACCTATCCCTCCACCAGTGTATATTTTCCACCACCAATGTCCCCAGTATCCCTCCCCACTCATCTCACCCCTCCCCCTGCCTCTATGGCAGACAATTTCCCTCTTTCTCTTTCTACTTATGGGTATTATGGTTTACAATATAGGTAATGAGAGGCTATCATGTTTGGTCCTTTATCTACTTTCTATCTGTGATTCTTGGCCATCAATTCTAGCTGTGCTACTAACAGTGAGGAGTTGGATTAGGACCACCCCGTCCTTGAAGAAGGGGGTCTCCATAATTAACCCACAGCCTTAGACACAAGGGCCCTCTAGACTTTTGCCCTTGGGTCTTATACTTCCTTCTCCTGCTGCAGGCAGGGAGACTGGACTTAATTCTTTCCTGACTCAGGACTTTGGAATAATTGATGGCATGGTCCTTATCTTCCCTTTGGGGCCCATCTTTTCACTCTTACCTTCAGTCCTGGAAGAAGGACTTCTCTGTGGTTAATCTGGATGATTGTGATTGTTATCAGCACTACAACGCTCACCAGCAAGACCACCAGGGTGATGATAGCTGGGATTCGGGAGAAGGTCTTAAGGCCTAAAATGGGAAAACCCACAAGAAACATGTTGGGAAAGGAGAAGTTGGGAGCTGGCCTTCTCTGCAGAACCTGTGGACTGGCCTCATTACCATATACACGTTACTTCTGGAGTGAGAGCTATACTCTTAGGGCAGGGAAGTCATTGGGTTCATTGGGTTCCCAACACCCCTCTCTCTACTCCCCCCAGTCCCACCAAAAGACTGGGACAGCATTTGCAGAGATCGTAGGCTCAGTTTAGTTTTCTGATTTTTTTCAAAGTGTGTTACACGTGTTATTGGTCATCTCAGAGATGATTTACAGAACACTCGTTTCTATGTGGATTTTAAAAAGACGAGTTTTCTATTATGGCAGGGGATGTGTTTATTTAACAAATAATCTCAGGGCCAGGTGGGATAGGCAGGGGACACCTGGGAGGCTCTCTGAGTTCTATCCTGCTTCACGGACCACCTCCATCCCGGAGCACTGTTGGGTGCAGCTCAGGTGACCCCAGCATCACCATATCTGAGCACTTGCTGCCAGACTGGAGAGTTGCAGGAAGCAGCCCCAGCCCTCGGCCCCTCTTCAGCAGTACTGGGTGTGGTTTCTGGAAACATAAAAATTGTCCCAGAAAAATAAAAATTAGTCAGTACTGTCCTTCAGATAAAACAAATCCTCTGAAGTTCAGAAAGCACTGACTTAGTGTTGAGCAAATGTAAAAAAGCTGAATGTTTAAAACATTTTGGTTCTGAGTAGGAACGCAACTTCAGTCATTTTCCTTTTGTCTAGGGTAAGGCCCAAGGTCTCACTTACATCCTTTCAAGTAGAGAAACTGGCCTTCAATCCACACGCTCCCTTACAAAGGACCACATAAAATATGGGTAACATATAGATCCACTTAAAGGCAAGGAAGAAGGAAGAACAATCTTCAATTATTTATATAGTCTCTGACTAAAGGTAATTAACTAATTATATGTCTGTTGCATAATAATATAAAGTCAAAAGTATCATCTTTGGTTACTAAATTCAACTAATATTTCTTAGCTAGCTAAAGGGAAAATCGGAGCTTAATAAACCATGGTGAGTTAATAAAAAATAATTTTTTTAGAGGTGGCTACACCCAGTGATGCTTAAGATATATTCCTGGTTCTGTGTTCAGGGATTACTCCTAGTGGGCTTTGAGAGACTATAATGGGATGTGAGGGATCGAACCCAGGTCAGTCACTGCAATGGATAGCGCTATCTTCTTTAGCCCCGATTAATGAAAATCTTGCAAATAGCTTTTTGTAAAAATAAAGAGTACTGGAGAAATACAACAGAAGCGAAGGCACCACCCCAATGCCTCTCCCCCGCTCCCCCCACATACCATCTCCCGCAAATGGTAAAGAAACTATCATGCTTTGTCTATAGGAAGCTTGGGTTTAATCCCTGGCACTGCATGGTTCCTCCAGTACCAACAGGACCAATCACCAAGAACAATGCATAGCCCAAGGAACCACCAGATTCTGGCACTATCATAAACACACACAAACACACACACACACACACACACACACATGCACACACACACACAAACAAAAGAAAAGTAAATCATACTGTACTATACTGAAATAACTCCACTATGTGAAATCCTAAAAGAAGGAAATTACAGAAATCAGAACAGTCATCTCCTGGGATTTGGGAAGGATTCACTTGGGAAGGAACATGTGTATGTTTTCTGAGCTAACGGAAGTATTCTATACCTCCTAAGATTGGGGGGTACATGAATGTGTCAGGATGGCTCAAGCATTTCAAAGGCATTTGGAGGAAGGTTGAAATCAAAGCAAAAGAACTTCTCAGGTACAATTTCTATTTAAAAATTCTTGGAGCTGGAGAGATAGTACAATGGGTAAGACACTTTCCTTGCATACACCTTACACAGTCCCCAGCATCCTATATATTCCCCCGAGCACTGCCAGGAGTATTTCCTGAGTGCAGAGCTAAGAATGATCCCTGTTGATCACCAGTGTTAACCCAAAACTGAAATAAATAACTAAAATCTTGTAAATGGCCTCCATTTTACAAACATAGGCAAGAATACTATTAATTTAGAGACCAAACTTAAAATTTAACCAGTTGACCATATGCAAATAATACCTAAAGTTTTAAACTAAAAATACATTTAATTAAAGTATTGACTAATATGCTTGGTAACTCTATTGTGAAATAAATATAAATGATGACACCCAAATGGCAGAAATGTGATAAATCTTGGCAGAACAGAGAAGTTGCTGGATTTAGGGAACCCCATTATGTCTCTCACTAATTGGCTACTGACGTGCAAACTAATTAAAAATTGAAGAAAAACTCCCTAGTTTCCACAGTTTCATTAGACACATTCAAAGGTCCAATAACTACCTGCGGCTAGTCACTACTGGGTGGGGCAGTCCAGCTCTCAAACATTTCCACCGTTGCCGAAAGTTCTACCAAACAACAATATAAAATAGAATAGTGTTCTGTTCCAGAACACTTAGTCTTAGTTCACCTTAAGCTATGTCTTACCCCTTCATTAATTCCAGGAAACATTTTCTACAACAAGAAAAGGGCATGTGGGGATTAGACTCAGCTCCACTAGTCAGCCACTTCATGACTGCTCTGTAGTACTATAGACCCTTCCTGATGTCGAAAGGGCTCTGGTCACCCCTTAGTTCTACCTTGTTCCTAGGAAGGCCAACTCGTACAGCCTCAATGGGAGGCAATTTGTCAATGTTTATCAATATGTATTTTCCCTCAACTGCTGGCCCCAGTTCTAAGTTCTACGAAGTTATTCCAAAGACTAGCCCTGTGTGTGTCTGAAGTGTCATTCACAGGGAATTACACATTATATAATCATTTGTGATGGCAACTGGAGGGAGGGCACTTGTGAAGCCCATCGACCAGATTAGGGAGGCAAATGCAAAAGTTTTAACTTTCAGAGAAGTCGGAGATCGCTGTCAGTTTAAGGGCTTTTTCTTCCCAGACAAGACATGGTAAAGATTTAATCTGCCACGTTCAAATTGTCCTTTGGAAGGAACATAACAAGTTCATCAGTGTGTGTGATGTTACAGGACATATGTTTGCGTTTTATTGTTTTTCTTTATGATTTCTTTTTTATAAATAGCTGGAAGTCACAGTAAAACAAACTCCTTAGGTACAGTTTTCCCTTTCCATGCCCCTAACACCCCTCCTCACCCCACAAATGGACTAGGTGAAGTTGTCCTTCTGCAAGAGAACACCCAATTTTGAGACATGACTGAGGAACATCTGTCGACAGGGCAGAGGAGGGGATGAGCTGTAAGCAATTTCCTGACCACAGCCGCATGGCCAGCCTCCCACACCCGCTGTGCTTCAGCAATTTTCAGGTAAAAAGCTATGATTACCTTCAGCAAACCCTGGCCCAGCAGAAAAGCCTATTACAAAGCCAGTGCTCTGGGCCACGTCTCATTCATTTCAGGAACAGCGCCTGGAGGGGTGCTGTCATTAGTGCTGGACAAACTGTGATTACAAAGTGCCTACCTGGGAGCGAAGAGGCTTCCACAGGAGCAACTGCAAAAAAAGAGACGGGCTCGAGCGGCAGGCAGGCAGGCAGGCAGGCGGGCAGGGCACGTTTATTAGGGTGCATGCATGAGTGTGTGGGCGCCTGGGTGAATGGGAATGCCGCCCAGGAGCCCCCAATCTGCAAAGGTAACCTCGACACCCAAGGAGGGGGCGGGGAACGCTGCGGGAGCGCAGCGCCAGCCACCCTAGGAAGGAAACAGGGATCCCGGAGCCCTTTACCCCTCACCAGCAAATCAACAAAATTCTGAAGCAAACCTTACACATGGCTGGGTAAGGGAAACCACAAGGGCCAAATTAATGGATTATGCAAACCGGAAAAACCATTCACGCGAAACATGCATGTTAGCCCTTGTTTTGCGTAGCCGTGATGAAAAGCATGACGTTTAGCGGAGGAATCCCGGTGGCGAAAGCGCGGTGAGTAAGTAACTGAGTCTCACACCAATGAGCACCCTCCCCCATTACAAGCCTCTCTTAGGGTGGGGGGTTCGGGGCTGAGCGGGTGCAAGATCGCCCCTGCTGCCTGCTAAGAGCTACTAACCTCCTTGCCCACAGGGCTGGCGGGTCAGCACGGTGAACATCTTCCCTTCCGGCTGCAAGGGAGAGAAGACACGTGTGTCTGAAGTTGGACAAACTTACACAGTGCAAAAACACCCCCCGGGCACACACACACACACCCTCCCACCCACCCACACAAACATTTTCTCCATATTCAAATCTCCAGAATTTAGGAGCCGGACCCAGCCACTGGGCTTCCATTCCGGTGTCACCTGCTCAGATGCAAGGAAAGAAGTGAAAGATGAAAAAAAAAAAAAGTGGAAAAAAATATATCTTCTCCAGCAGGTTTTCCTACCTGTACACACTATGCTAAAGAGACCAAATCTTGCTCCTCTTTTGCTCCTCTTTAGGATATATTCCTGGGATGGTTCCTGAGTGCCCCTCTACAAGGGAACCCACACCACACCCCACCCTCCGCACCTCCTTGCAAAGCTGCGCTGACCCTTTCGTGACCCAGGAGGGGGTGGCTTTTCTACCGGCTGGAAACAATCGCTCCTCGCCCAGGCTGCCTGGGGCTCCCCTCCCCCGGGGATCCCGCACCCCACCACCTGCGCGGCCAGCTGGAAGCGTCGCGCCCCCGCACGGCCGCAGGCACCGAAGCGCCGCGCGCATCGCCGGAGCTGGGCAGAGGAGCCGTGCCCACCTCCCCAAAGCCAGGCACCGACGGGGACCGACCCCCTCCCCGCCCTGCCAGCAATCGGGACTCGCGTGGCGCGGTGGGTGCCGCCCTCCTCTAGCGTTCTGATTCCGTCTCCGGGCCGCGGCGGAGCTGGCCCTTACTTACCTTCCCCCGTGCGCCCACCTGTGCGGCCGATCCGAGCAGCGTGGCCCCGCGCTGCAGCAGTGGCAGCTGGCGGCTCCCGGGTGCTGGAGGCCGCCTGGCAGGCGAGGGGCGTGTCGGGGGCGTGGCGCCAGGCCGGAGCCCCGCCCCCGGGCCTGGCCTCTTCACCTTCTTAGTTGCAGTTCCTCCTACCTACGAACGAGCCCCAGATCCTGAGCGAGGGGAAGGGAGGGCACGCGCCTCCGACGGCTGACCGCGCCTGCTTTGCCCGGGTTCCGCTTTGCGTTCCAGCCCTTCTCCTGCCTTAGGTAGTTCCCTCTACTTTGCTTGAAGAAGGGATAGGATAGGGTCTGCACTTGTAGGACGCGCAGGGGGACAGTTGGGTGTCCACTGTCTGTCTGTGATGTCTCTTCTAGTCTTCTCCACCGACACATCAAACCTAAGTAGAGTGGAAGCGGGGCCAGGCAGAGACTGGGCTCTGCATGGGTTTGCGTAAGTAAAACCTGTGCTCATCTTTTCTGGGGGAAGGGGGGCGGGGGGGATGCATTCACGCAACACCTGTAATTTGGGGGGAGTGAGGAAGGCAGGCAGACAGTTCCTGGGCACATCTGGGACAGGAGTGCCAAGTCAGGCAGGAACATTCGCTTATGTATTTGAACCGACCTGCCCATTCCCAGGTCCGGTTATCTCTCTAGTTACTGGCTAATCTCCCATAGTATTGCCTTCCCTGTCGTATTGTAGGTGACTGTGACTGGGCCAAAATTCAGGACAAGCACTGTCTGGAATAGGCGAAACAAAAAAATGACACACAAACACAAAACAGCCCAGGGAATGCATCAAAGTCAATGTCCATGCCACTGCTATCCTTGGCAGGAAATCCTCCAATGTACCCTCTGGGTGATTGTGTACTCCTGACACAATCCCAGTAACAGAACAGTTTGCTTTGGGCACAGGAATAGACCCAGAGATCTATAAAACAAAAGAGATTGTCCAATATCAGACTAATGGATATGGGATTTAATACAACATAAGGAGGAGGTGGAAAGAACACTTTATTCAATAACTGGTGTTGAAACCACTGCCTCACCATTTGGAAAAAATCCCATCATACATCAAGTTCAAGAATTGGGTTTTAGATAGATTAAGGGTTTAAGTATAAAAAATAACTTAATATCCTAAAAATATATAGAGAACATTTTATGACCCTTGGGAAAGAACAGTCTCTTCTAGCCTGAGATCAAAGCAGGAGATAATGTCAACATGTCTGTATCCCTGCATTAAAAAGAGACATTTAAAAAGGCTATATTGCACTGGTGGTAGGGTTCGCGTTGAAATGTTATATGCCTACACCTCAACTATTAATAACTTTGTAAATCACAGTTCTTTTATTAAAAATAAAATAAATACTATATTGTAGGAAAATATGAAGAATATCATAATGTAATATTAGAATTTAATGCCCCAAACTTGAAAGCAGTGAAAAATCATCATAGTAAAGAGGTCAGACAAATTTATAGAAGCAGATGAATATTGAAATTTCTTTGGAGAGCATGGGAAATATACCCAGCAGTGCTCAGGGGCTACTCCTGGCTCTGTACAACTCTTAACTCTATACTATCTCTCCAGGCATGTAAATATCTAGAGTAGAGAAATGAACCAATGTCTTGCACTGGCCAAGTTACAGAAGAAATAGAAGAGACTAGTAGAGATGAAAGTGACACTGAGTAACTGAGATACCTGAGATTTTACCAAAAATCTGTTATCTATTCTAAAATAGTCCATTTAGGGGGCGGGAGCAATAGCACAGCGGGTAGGGCATTTGCCTTGCACACGGCAGACCTGGGTTCGATTCCCAGTATCCCATATGGTCCCCTGAGCACCGCCAGGAGTAACTCCTGAGTGCAGAGCCAAGAGTAACCCCTGTGCATTGCCAGGTGTGATCCAAAAAGCAAAAATAAATAAATAAATTAATTAATTAAATAAAATAATCCATTTAGTCTTGGTTATCTCAAATTATATATATAAATACACACACATATACACATAATCTGTATATATAACATGATATATAATACATATATGTATTTTTTAACTGATCAATTGAGCAAAGCTTTAAAAGACCTGTGGTGCCTTGTACTGGAGAAAGCTTCCATATTCTGGAAGCTTCTGGAATGTGGCATTTTTGGTTTTCTTCTTACCTCTCTTGATGCTTTTTGCTGGCTTGTGCTCTCTCCTAGAAGTTCTCATGACTCTCCTCTGTGTTCTCTTATCTCCTCACTCTTTCCTTTCTTCCTAGGGAATCTAGATATCAGTTCTGTTCGTTCTGTTCACAGGAGTCTCTCAAAGGCTCATCTCCCATGATTCTTTCAGCCATCTTACAGGTATCTCACTTGCCAGCTTTGAGTGAAAACTCTCCTTTCCCACCAGAGCAACTCCCCCACACTTCTCTCTCAAGGCCTGGCACCCCTCCTCTAATTCATGTAGGCAAGCTGGAAACCTGTGGATTCTCCTTAACAATATTTCCTCATTCCTTCTAATAGCACTAGTAAGTAAAGTAAAGGCCCTCCCGTTGATCATCAATTTGCTCAAGCGGGCCCAGTAACGTCTCCATTGGAGACTTTGTTGTTACCGTGTTTGGCATATCAAACACGTCACGGGTGGCTTGCCAGGCTCTGCCGTGCGGGCGAGATACTCTCGGTAGCTTGCTGGGCTCTCCGAGAGGGGCGGAGGAATCAAACTCGGGTCGGCCATGTTGGCTGCGTGCAAGGCAAACGCCCTACCGCTGTGCTATAGCTCCAGCCCTCTAATAGCACTATTGCTGATTTTAACTTCACAATTCCTATGTGTGTTCTGTCTCCACTACTACTGTCATTTGACCAGCATTTCTCAATCCAGGCACTATATTTCAGACCAGATCATTTTTAGTGGGGTGTGAGGGATGCTCTCAAACCGTATTCAGGGACTATTCCATCAACTGAATTGGACAGTTGAATGCCTGGGACAGGCTATACGGTAATTTTAAGACTCAGGGTGTGTGTGAGAGCGCACACACCCCACCCCACCTCCTACCAACCCAGTAATACTTTGAAAGTACCAGAAATTGAACTGGTGGTGATAGTGATTGAACTTTGAGTTTGCACATGCAAGCCATGCTCTATAGCTCCCAAGCTATCTCCTGGGGCCCTGGACCAGACAATCCTTTGCTGTAAGTGCAGCCCTGTGCATTGAAAACATTTTAGTGGCATTCCTGACCTTTACCTAGTCCATGCTAATTGCGTTACATCAGCCCTCTGCATACAGTGAGAACTGAAAATGTCTCCAGATGTTGCCAAGTGTCTCCTGAGGGTAAAATTTTCTAGGTTGCACATCACTCTGAGCTTGCATTGCCTCTCTCTCTCTCTCTCTCTCTCTCTCTCTCTCTCTCTCTCTCTCTCTCAGTTCCCTCTGCTTTGGCTGAAAGAGGAGAGATAGGAATAGGATCGGGTCTCTCTCCAGTTAGGAGGCCAAGCTTCACTTGTCTCTCATTGTGCTCTTTCTCTATTTCAGACCCATTTTATCTGCTGCTACCAGCCTCATGACCAAAAACACATACCTTCCAACATCATCATGTCTTCTGTTAAACTATTTCATGCTATGTATGGCAGGGACTGAACTCAGGGTCTCATGTATAAAAGGCATATACTCGACCCCTTTTAGTTATCTCATAATCCCTCTATATATACTATTAAAAAATTAGTTGCTTTTTTTGTTGCTTTTTTTTAAGGAGTGTTGGGTCACACTGGGGTTTGGATCACATGGGCTTGGTGCAGTGCTGGGATCAAACTTGTGGCTCATGTTTCCACAGCATGTGCTTTCGTTACTGAGTGTTCTCCTATCCCTCTCCTACCTATAACCAGCCCTCTTTTCTTTTTTCAAGTACATCCTGTCTTCTCCTGCCACAGGGTCTTTGCACATGTAGTATCTCTCCTTCTCGAATTACCTCGTCTGAGGCTTTTATCCTCATCTTAGGCACTGCATTGCATCTTCCCTGGCACTTCCCAACGTGTGTGACACATCCAAACAGAGACAGGAGTCATCTTGCTCTGCTTCCTCTGCAGGCATTTCATTCATTGGGCTAGTCATTTGGAACTGCCGAGTAAGAGACACCCGTTGCCTACCATGAGGAGCAGCAGTTCCAGACTGTCAGCCTAGGACATGATGACCAGTGTCAGCATCACCGAGAAAGACCTGATGTACACAGAC